ATGAACTTCTGGAATACCGGTTCAGCATGCAGATCACTACACCACAAAGACACGGTAGGAAAGTGGGTGAAATACCTTATACTCCCCGTTTTAAAGGGCAACTGGGGTTTTCAGGGCACCCAATCGCCAAATCCTGGGTGTGGAGAATCCTCATCCAACACCCTTTTTGTTCGGCCGCCACTGTAGAGACATTAGGTATTTTTGGAAGCAGGCAAAATGAAAAATTAGCAAACGCCTTCGTCGGAATGGACATCTGGAATACTGGCCCAGGGTGCAGACCACTACACCATGCTAGGAAAGCAGGAGAAATACCTTTATAAAGATATACTTCAAAAACTTTGGGAGTACCGAAGGATTTAAATGTATCATTATTGTGGATTAAGTAGTCAACATTTGAAAAATGAAGAATGTTTTTTACTGTAAAAATTCCATTTTTTAAATGTGGATTGCTGAGAAAATAAGAATTATTTAAAAAATCATGGGTACTTAATCCTTCCAAAGATAATGAATGTGTCTGAGAATACGTATATGAAGTGAAACAGATCCAAAGTAAATGATATACAATGTATGTCAACATGAGAAACATTGATTCAGAAGACAAACAACAAAAATCAACGTTATAGTACAGTCAAAAGTCGTTAATCCGGACTCGTCAGGACTTCGGCGATTCCGGATTATCGATTTATCCGGATTATAGATCATCAGTTTAAATCTCGTAAGATGGCATGCAGAAAATCTAAATTAAAAATATGAAACGGATAATTTATGAAATAAAGAACAATTATGATCTAAAGGGTATCAAAATTTGCAAAAAAAAAAAGCTTAATATTATTTGTTTACTTTATTAAAATTTCTTTCAATGTAAGTTGTTAAGTTTTGCTTCGTTTCATGTGATAATACTTTCTCTTAATTCTATAAACAGATATAATTTCTTGTTTACTTACAAAGTTCCGCTGTTCAAGTCCTATAATTGCTGTGTCGAGAACACCGACTAATTTGTCAATCGAAATTTTTTCGTTTTCAATAACCTCTGTCACTTTCTTCGCTATCGGAAGCGAATTATAATGACGAGGAATTTGTTTTAAATCATATCAAAGACAGAGCATATCGAGATGAAATAAAAGAGAATAATTACTACATTTGGTAAGGAATTATAAGCCAAATAAAATAAAAACATCTGCGCTGAAGATAAGGATAGTGCTGACAGATCAACTTCCAATTCATTACGCGCCCGCCGTTCCCCCCGCCGAGCAGCGTGAAATTGATAAACAGATTTCAGATTTCAAAACATACTTTCGCTTAGATCCTTTACACATTAACAAATATATTCGGAATTCTATTCGATATAATCGAAAGTTTAAGCTTACTTTATAAAATTGCTCTTACAGTCTGCAAAAAATAATAAGCCGGATCAATTCGAAAATTAAGGAACAACGCATCATCAACATTAACTGAAATACATAATTAGATAATTTTAGCTTATACGTCCTTATACATACAAAGCACACGCGAAAACGTATCTCACTTGAGCACACTCATATGCGCAGTTAAAAGGTCTACGCGCACGCGTAAACGTCTATGCGATGTGCCAACGCGAGCTATGCGCAGAAAGTTTTAGTTTTGAGGTCCGGATATAGATCATCCGAATTATGGGTGTCCGAATTAACGACTTTTGACTGTATTTACAAAATTTCCACAGGACTAGTTTCGATGGTTTTACCGAACCACCATCCTCAGCTGCAAAACCGCAAATGAACAAGATAGGAAAAAATGATTAGATAAGATAAGAAAGCCCGGACAAGAATAAGGAAGTGGCGCCATCTGTTGGTGAAACCAGAACTAAAACATAATTTCTTTAAAGGCCGAAGGCGAATTTGGATTGGAATTAGGATCGTTAACTAGAACAGAAAGATTTTTTATGAATGTGGAATGCCTCTAGAAAATCCAGTTCTCCAATGGAAGATGTTTTTTGAATAATTTTGGCACCAGAAAAATTGAAAGTGTGATTTTCGGACCAACAATGTTGCGCAACAGAAGACTTCTGCGTTTCCTTTTTTCTAACACATGCCTCATGTTCCTTGACGCGAAATTTTAAGGCTCTCTTAGTTTGGCAATGTAAATTAAACCCACTCGCAAGGAATCCTATAAATACCCCAGGAATTCATATCCGGAATGGGGTCCTTAAGTATGGAACTTGGAATTTATTGATGGGAGAATAAAACAACCCGAAAGTTATATTTCTGCAAAATATGTGCAACTTTATAGCTAATTGATGGAAAGAAGGGAATGACAACAGAATTTTATAATCTCCTAAAACAAGAGTGCCTTTTAGTGTGTTGAGATGAGATTTTTTCAACTGCTTGATTAATAATGTTGGGTGGAAAGCCCCTGTCAATAGCTATTGCTTTTAAATAATTTAGTTTCTTCATCAAGGGCTAGTTTGGAGGAGCAAACTTGAATTACTAGCCCTTGATGAAGAACTAAATTATTTAAAAGCAATAGCTATTGACAGGGGCTTTCCACCCAACATTATTAATCAAGCAGTTGAAAAAATCTCATCTCAACACACTAAAAGGCACACTCTTGTTTTAGGAGATTATAAAAATTCTGTTGTCATTCCCTTCTTTCCATCAATTAGCTATAAAGTTGCACATATTTTGCAGAAATATAACTTTCGGGTTGTTTATTCTCCCATCAATAAAATTCCAAGTTCCATACTTAAGGACCCCATTCCGGATATGAATTCCTGGGGTATTTATAGGATTCCTTGCGAGTGTGGTTTAATTTACATTGGCCAAACTAAGAGAGCCTTAAAATTTCGCGTCAAGGAACATGAGGCATGTGTTAGAAAAAAGGAAACGCAGAAGTCTTCTGTTGCGCAACATTGTTGGTCCGAAAATCACACTTTCAATTTTTCTGGTGCCAAAATTATTCAAAAAACATCTTCCATTGGAGAACTGGATTTTCTAGAGGCATTCCACATTCATAAAAAATCTTTCTGTTCTAGTAACGATCCTAATTCCAATCCAAATTTGCCTTCGGCCTTTAAAGAAATTATGTTTTAGTTCTGGTTTCACCAACAGATGGCGCCACTTCCTTATTCTTGTCCAGGCTTTCTTATCTTATCTAATCATTTTTCCTATCTTGTTCATTTGCGGTTTTGCAGCTGAGGATGGTGGTTCGGTAAAACCATCGAAACTAGTCCTGTGGAAATTTTGTAAATATAACGCTGATTTTTGTTGTTTGTCTTCTGAATTAGTAGTATTTATTCAGCGTGTTATTGTGTCTTAATTATGAGAAACATTGTTTCGAAAAAAAACGTTACAGTGTTTTAAGTTTTTCAAGACTTTAAATCAAAAATGCATTAGAAAAACTGTACTTTTGTCCCTTCAGGCTAGTATTTTTAGTTATCTTTATGAAATTTTTAAAAATTCGTAAGTGACCTACTCCTTTAATGTATTAATAAATTAATGTTAAAAAAATTAGAATGAAATATTATTTATTTCTCTACACTTCTACATATCTCTCTTCAGATTTCAGAATATTTAACTTATTAAATATATAAATTAATTCGTTTTTAATTTTAAGATAATAAATAGTGTTAAGCAGTGTATTTGGTATTCAATGTGTTTGGCATATAATTTCGCTTTGCTTGTAATGTTATATTTTTATAATACAAATATACGTATAATTCTTCAGTAAATATGTCGGATTGTAGGTATTAACAAAACACACAATATTTGCACATTTAGAAAAATTAAAAGATAAAATTAAATTTTTTTGGTTTTTCATATTATTATATTAATAATACTTCATTTTAAGTGTTAACCATAAGCAATTCCCTCTAATATTATCGTCACTGCATAAAGGCGCTCACTATGTATTTGCAAGACAGCACAGATTAGGCTTGGTGTGGGCCTGACAACAGCAATTTATTTCGTTTTTAATGAAAAGATTGTACTAAAGAACTGGGGATATAATTTGATTTAGATGAAGGTGTTAATTTGTATGTCATTCAGATTAGCTTTATATATTCAGTAAATGTCCTTACAATAATTGTGCATGTTCAAAAATAGACAATTAGTTACAACTAATGGAAAAAACAAGGGAGAGTGAAGTGTATAATTTTTAAGAGAAAAAGTATAACCATTATTTCCGTCGCCACTTCTTATTGACCACTTGGAGCGGTGTATGCATTAGAACTGTGTAAATATATGAGAACTGAATTGAAACATTCACAACTAAACTATCTGCCACTATATTGTTAAAATATTTTAAACATTTAGTTTAATGTGTAATAAACTAAGTAAAGAAAAGGCAAGATTTAGGGGGGGGAATTTTTAATTACCGTATTTGATAGCATATAAGACACACCCTTATTTAGAAGGCCACACACATGTATATGTAGAAAAAGTTATGTGTGTCTAGACCTTTATCCGGGGTAAAAATAGCATTCAGTATTGAAAGTTAACCTGTGTCCTTCATGTATAAGATGCAGGTAACATTTTTGAGACCAAATTTAGGAAAAAAAGTGTGTCTTATATGCCGTCAAACACAGTAAATGACTAGTATCAGTGAGTGAGTGAGTTGAAAACTAAACAAAATGTCATAAATATGCACATGATCTTCAACTGAAATTTTCTATATTTATTTCCTTTTTAATCATCTAAATTTTAATTGTGAAGAAAGCCTTAGTATTTGTATTTAATGTAGTATTAATTGAACTTATACGCATAATATAATAAATCAAAAACTTAAATTTGCTACGCTAATCAGTACTGACTACATTTATCATTTTATTACATTAAAAGTCAGTTTAAATTTAAAGGAAAAAAAAATTTAAAAATGCTTTTTTTTAAAGAAAAGTATGGTTTTCATATATCTCATACCTAAACAATTAAAACTTTTATTATTTTTCGCAGAAAGAAATTATAAATTTTTCTTACTTTAAAGGACATTTTAAATATAGTAAATAACTACAATTTAAATTTTTATTACAGTGTTATGTACAGCACATCCTTCGAGATATTGCAGATACCGTTTATAATGAACTTGTTCACGATAAAGGTCATTTTTATGTATGTGGTGATGTGAGTATGGCTGAGGATGTTAACCAAACGTTACGCATGATAATACAAGAAAAAGGCCAGATGAACACCCTAGCAGTTGATAATGTTATCAAAAGGTTGCAGGTATGTATCAACATTATACACAAAAAAGACATTTTTACCAAATTAATTTGCTTATCAGTATATTAATTTAATATACCATCAATTCAGATATCTTTCATGTAGTGAATTAAAATATTTATCCCATTAATATAATTGGGAATGCAATTATTACCGATACCATAAAGGTAACCTTACTTAAATTATAATAATAATAATTCGTTGCTGGTGCTTACAGACACATATAAAGCATTATTTTCATATTTATTTATTTCTTATTTGACTATCTTCTGTAACCCCAAAATCGGACTTTTCAAATCCTTAACAGTAACTCCGGTGTTTTATATCCTTATATTAGTTCTCAGATAATAAAAATCCCAATCAATAAATATTCATTATGTTTTAAGACATTTTAATAGTAAATATCACTGAGAAGTTTAGCATACTTGTTTTTAATTAAAAGGTTAGAAAATGAAAGGAAGGGGAAAGAACAGCAGCAGCATGCTATCAATAGAAACTGGGAATCATACGATACAAGTAGCAGTTTTTGCTGCTATACCATCAGTTTTCCTATGATCATGCTTTACCAAATTTTGCTACTTTATGTGTTTATCAAGTCATTAATGTTCTTAGCAAACAAAGTGGTGAATACTCTTAAACAAAATATCCTAAAAAAGATAGGATGATATAGACCCTAGCAAAAACAAATCCCCCCCCGAAAAAAAGCCAATGACAAATATTTCTCATTTAAAGAAAGGGGCTTTATCTTCATTTCTTTAATATTACATAAAGTATCATTAACTATACATTTGGGAAACTTTATACAACTTACCTAAAAACAATCATGCATGAAAATTTCCCCATGAGAATTTTTTGAAGATATCTGTCTATCAGACAAAAAATTAATGTGCATGCAGATTTGTAGAAATACTGAAATTAAATTTTTTATTTTATGAATTTTGCTTCCCCCCTCCATTTAATGAATTTAGTTTTATATCAACACTAATGTTTTCCTGACTCTTTTCATCAGGTGCATTGTTTCAATAATGTAATTTTGACAATTTCAAAGTCAATTTTTAAGCCACTGCAAAAGCAGTACCTTTTTTGAAAAAGACTGTTACCGGGGGTAAGGAACAATTTATCAACTAGATGGTCGATATAAAAAATTAAATTTTATATATTTTTACTAATAAGTGCCACAAGCCCCCTCCCAAAAGCAGCCTTTAAGCCCTCCTTTTATATTTTTTAAATTGAAATTAAAGTTTTCACCCAATTGTTCGTTCTTACTACCTATCATAGGAAGAAAATCGTTACCATGAAGATATTTTTGGAATAACTCTCAAGACAGCAGAAGTTACCAACAGAGGACGAGCTGAAGCTAAAAGTAGAAAGAGCACCTCTTCAAGCTGAAATATTATGGTAGCATTTTTAAATATATGGTTTCTATATGCAAATATGAACACTATGAAAATCCTGTGCAAAGTTCACATCCTTTTCATCAATTATTACATAAACTAATATAAGTTTTCAGTTTTTATATGTAAGTACCATATTCATTGATCTCAACAAAATATTGATGGATTTCTAAATATTATTCTAATTATGTGCTATCATAGCCAAAATGCTCTTAATAGTTACATAAGAAAGGAAAAAAAGTTTAAATAAACTGTATGTAAAAATTAATAATTGAAAACTAAATATTTCCTAACTATTAAGTAAATAACTTGAATACTGTTTTAAATCTGTAGTCCTAATTTAGGAATTTCAAATGGCTTCACATATATTTATCTGTGCCTAGAATGCAAGCCTTTATAAGATCTTGTCTTCTATGATAATCAATTCATACATATCAAAAGAATTCATTTTATGCTAATAATGACAACAATGTCACCATTTAGAAAAGGTAAAAAAGTTTTGTATTTAATATTATATTTTCCTTTTTCCAATATGTAAATTTGGCCAATTTCAAATAAAAAGTATATTTACTTTAATTTGCCTTCTTAACACACATGAAACTTTTTTTTAAAAAAAGTGATATTTCTCCCAATTAAATATAAAAAATTATTAAAATTAGCCATATCTGCATGATAAAGCTTAAAATTATTTTTAAAAAGTATTGAAATGCACTAACATTCCATTACTGTCAACAAGTAAAGGCAAAAAGTAGAAGTATTTTGGGGGAGACACTTATCAGTCAGCTATTGATGCTTTTTTACATAAAGCTCAAATTTAAAATTTGTTTTCACATGTGTATTTATTATGGAATAGATAACATTCAGTAGTTAATGCTTCATAGGGATTCAAATGTTGAGGAGTTGAAAACTAAAAAGTCCTCTTTGGTGAATTAGGTTCAGTTTGCAAAAAATAATCATTTTGTGTTAGGTTTATAATTTTCAAACCACAAGACATAAACCATACTGTATTACTCAAGAATAATATTCAACTAATATACATTACAAAAATATAATAACCAATTTTTATTCTGACGAAATATGGCATTAATATTATTTTTTATTTCAAAAGCTAATCATGCTATACAATAAACTAAAAAAACTTCACATTTTCTGCCAGCACAAACAACAAAATAAATTGCTTCATAGTAATAGATAAAAAAAACACATATGTTTTAATAACTATGTTGTTTTAAAAATTTTTGTTTTTCACAAAATACAAGTTACAGCATAGTATGAAGTATATTTAATATAATAACTAATGACAAGAAATATTTAATATTCAAAAATATTCTTGAAATATTTCTTCACATCTTCCTAAAGGACGAATTCACATCTAAGTTTATTTTTAATTCCTTTTTGCTTATTCTGCCTTCTAATGCTAAAAGTGAAGAGAAAAAAAAATTCTATATGGTTTTTATGATATTCCAAATTAAAAACATTGCTCACTTCTGATTAAGCTCACTATGCTGGTCTTAAAATGGAATACAATGTTAAACAGACTAAATAATAAGCAAAGTAGTATGAAATTATGAAGATTTTTTTTTAAGTGCAGATACAAATTCAGCTTTAAATGGTAAAATTTTCCTTTTTTTTTTGTATAAAAACTGCATAAAATTTTACTTTATACCTATATTCTATGATACACCTGAAATATTTCTGCTGTTATTCCACTCTAATCTTACATTTACCCCACACTGTACACAGCTATCTACTTCAGTTGTTGCTATGAGGTAATGACGATTATTCTTATGCTGCAATAGATAACAAGGGTGAACTTTTGGTTCAGTTGAGGTTTATCCCATCTTGCTTTACTTCATAAAACTGTAACTTCTCAAAAGTAGCAGTTTTATGATGTATAATTGTAACTTCTCGAAGGAACTAGATTAGTTGCTGTATGTAAAAGCCATCCAGCCCTGACAGTCATCTTTAATGCCTTTGCAAATAAATTTCGCCATAATTTCTTATTGCAAAGCTGCGAATTGTAGCTGCTCAACACTGAATTTAAGAGGTCAACTGTATCCATTCAAAAATTATATTTCTGATTCTAGTTCCGTTATTGCACAAGTGCATTTTTCTTTTCTTGGATGTAAATAACTTAGTTAATTGGATTGGAAGATGAGAGCAATGATTTGAAGAACTGGCATTATCAATCCAATGGCACATAAATACCAATCAGTCACACTGCTCATCAAATGCATCTTTTTTTTTTTTTTTTTTTTTTTTTTTTTTCCTCGTCTCTTTAGAAAGAAGTGAACAATTTTGAATTCAGTGTTCTTGGATAGATCCAGTAGCACTTGTGTTTCTTGAAAAAACTTGAAAGTTCCTTCATCAAATTATAAGAAGTAAAATAAATTATTGAAAAATATTTCTATTGGAAGAGGGTTAGTAACAACTGACAGAAGGCTATACACTATCCTAGTACCAAGAAGTGCTGTTTGATTGAAATGCTTTCTTGGATAAATTTCCATTTTATATAGATCACCATCCAAATTTTAGTTTGTGCCATTGGTACCACAAACCATCCAAATTTTGGATTCAAAGTGAATTACTTTTCTATGAATGAACATTTTAGAAAAATGTGACCATAATATGGAACTATTGATTCGTCATAGCTAAATTCATTGTGAAATAATCCAAACTGAATGGATATTTTTGTTTAGTTCATCACAAATTACTTGACTTTTATCATTAAGTTACAACTACTGAATTATCAAATGAAAATTTCTTTACATGTCTGAGTTTTTTCCTCGACATTACTGCAAGCACAGATAGAACAGCTGCATCTTCAGAAGTATATCAGTAATCATTTTCAAAGGGTACCTGATGATATCCATTGAATAAAAGTAACCTGATAAACTGGCAATATCTTTCCAGTCAGTCTGTATGTATGTTAGTCCCCTTTTGAACTGTGTATGCTGATGTCATTTTGGACATATAGCTTATATATTTCCAGGAAAAGAATTTGAAAAAATATGTCAATAGATTTGACTTCTATAAATTTTGAAAATGTATACCAATTTCTTTGTTGGTTTACTTTTGATGGCCTTATTAAAAAAAAAAAAAAAAGACTTCTTTTTCTACTTGTTCATACGGGCAAGACTTCACTTGTTTTACTTAGAAGTTTTTTTTTTTTTTTAAACTATTTTGTTGTTTGTTTGAAATCACTTCTGTAGCTTGTTCTTCAAAACCCTTTTTAATAATTAGTAATCTGTTAATAATGCTAACATGTCCACAAGCATCAGAAGGCCCTACATACCAAAGAACAATGGCATTTAATATCCTCTTCTTCAGAGATGTGATCAGTTTCATCAGGAGTTAAGTTAAAAAATTTTTAAGTTCTTCATTGGAAATACTCAACATAACAGTTATATGAGTGTCATCAGATACTCAGTAGTAGTTGCTTCTACAGTTTTAGAAATGTTGTAAATAATTCAAAGAATAAAAAACATTAAACACCATTTACCACAAAATCTGAGAAATAAATGTCCAGATAAACACAGAAATGATATTTTCTTTCATCAGAATAAGGGGATTTATTTTTCTACAAAAAAAGGGGGAGATTCCACTTTTCATAAAACCAGGATGCTTCACTTTGTGAAATATAAGAGGATTTTTCCTCTCCAAGAAAATCAAAGGAAAAACGTTTCTTTTTTATTTTATGAAAAACTCACAGTAATGAGAATTCCTTTTTTCACAGAATTGTGGTTACTGGCCAATGTTCTCACTTGGGAACAGGGAAGCTTAATGAATTATAGCAAATGCATTTCTTATTAATATCATTATATATTATGCTCTTTTTAGTAAAGTGAATCTTTTTAACTACGTCTGCTGATTTTTAGAAACTTAGTTTTTTAATTTTATATGAATTTTTAAGTTGTTCTGTATATAAAATGGCAAAAACGTTCCCCTCCCCCCAAACAATACCTGTTTTATATGTGAAATCTAATTTTTCTATTAAAAAAATCAAACTTTCTTTCACTTATAAATGACAATTTCTTTATGTCAATATGAAGTTTCAATCTGATGCTCCCTACTGGGAACACTGGTTTGTAAAAGGTTAACAAATTATGAAAATTATTCAGTTAAAAATAGAATAACACACAAATGTAAAATGCATCAAATAGATTTTAATAGAAGAAAAAACACATGAATCAAATATAAAATTTATGCACTGTAAAATACATTTCAATATAACAAGCATTAAATCTCTAAACATCAAGCTATCACTTGTTACCCATTATATTGTTTTGCACCTTAATTTGTCTATAATTCACATTAATTGTGTAGAATTCATTATCAATGGATCTAAATTATTACAGAAATAATGTAGCAAAATATCCAAATAAAACAATGAATGCAATTTGGGGTTAACATTTATAAACAGTTCCAAATCTGTGATTCACAAAGATGAAAAGTAGATTTTAATTATATGTTTACAGTAAAGTATTTAGTTTCTTGTTTTCTCTTCTTATTACTTAAAATACCTTCAGGTACTCATTGTTTAAGCCAGCAGCATAGCTGTGCCATAAAATGGGATCAACATATCATTATTCAGATGCTAGTTTCTCCAGAGCTATACAAAAAAGTGTGACTTCAAATATGTATTCTACATATATTTTATTTGTATTTCAGAATGATCAATAATAAGCTAAATTTTGTGAATCAAATAAATATTTATCTGTCTATATAATAAAAAAAAATTTTTTAAACGTCTCCATTTTTTTTTCTCATACTAATTCACCTCCTACAATTATAGGTAAATAATGTCAGACAATAGAAATGCATTAAACAAAAAAAAAAAAAAAAAAAAAAAAAAACTCCAAAGTATTTCAGATGATGATAAAAACAAGTTCTCCAAAACTGATACTCCACTCTAAATATGACAAAGATATACAATTATTAGATGTAATCAATTCTCTCACTGCAAATTATCCAAGTACTGACAAACACTACTTGCAAAAACTGTTAGTCTGACTAAAATATAGAAAATGCCCTAATAAAATGTCACTCAGGTGATTAAATTTTATTCTATGATTAAATTTTATTTAGCTTTACCATGATTCATAATATAAGTTATAAATAATGAATATATATATATATTTTTTTTTTACCACAGGGCAAAATGAACAATGTTATTGCAAATACATATACAATGCAGGTTAAATGCTTGGTGAAGAAGTATGCTAGTATGGTTTCTCCATATGTAACATGAATATGAGTTAAGTTTCCATTGCACCAGGGGTTCTCAACTGGTGGTACAAGTACCACTGATGCTACGCAAGAGAAGAATAGGTGGTACACAAAGAAGCAAAGTATTTTTAACTATTAAATTCAAACATCCTGAGTGTGTTTTTTCCTAACACTCATAAATTTATGCGATCTGAGCTTTGTTCAAGAGTGGTGGTGGTGATAGTAGTACTTTGTAGTAGTGGTACTAAAGGTTTTCAATTTTTGTTTAGATGGTACACATTAATCAAAAGGTTGAGAACTGCTGCATTACACAATTCTTCATGAAGGCATTGCTCCATCAGATAGCT